TATGCTGACTCTCTGTAAACCGCTTAGAGAGGCCTGAAAGGCCTATGAAGCGGTATATAAGTCTACTGCTATTGCTATTGCTATTGCTATAAATACCCTTTGTGGCCACCGACCTCCCAGGATTTAAATCATTAAATCGTCAGGAATTCTAGGAGTTGAAGTCCACATCGCTTCAACTTCCCATGTCTGAGTAATGGGTTGGATCAGGTGAAAATCAGAAAAATACCCCCATGCATACCTCTGGGAGAGGTAGTGGGGTGTAAAATCTCCATATTCCAAGGCCTGGGACTCAAGAGTGGATCTCTTAATTGAGGAGTCGGAAAGCATTTGCGGAATTTTCCCAAAATGCTTAACAAGCATTGCTTGGTAGGCAGCATACTCCAAACTGGACCTACCTTAATTTTGGGCGAATGAAATGGGAGGGTGGTGTTGGAAAAACCCAAATTTGCAAGTTGGAGCTCTGGAGCAGCAAAATAAGGACAAAAACATAAGGAGCCATGCAAGGTTATGTAAAACAGAGGTCCCAGCTTGGCGACCCCGGAGGTGGGGAGAAGAGGGGATGTTCCCTGCAGGTGGTAGATGAGTGCATGCATGTGCAGCTCCATTTGTGTGAGAGGCGGGCTTGCGCAGCCCACTTCCGAATGGGCCACGGCCTGGGTAGTGAGCCACGAGCCAGGGGTTGGGGGCCCCCTGATGTAAAAGTTGTGATTTTTAGTCCTCTTGATTGAGCAAATTCATCAGGAACTGGGTTTAAACATGCTTGGGATAAACACGGATCCAGGGGTGGGCTGCTGTGGCTTTGCCCAGGTTCGGGAGAACCCCTAGCTAACATTGTGGCTGGTTCAGAAAACCTCCAAATCCCACCCTTGGCTAGCCCCGCCCCTCCCTGGAGTCTCCACGTGGTCTGTTTTGGATGTGAGGTAAGTGCAGGGCCTGCACAGAGGCTCAGGGATAAGGAAAAACAGGCCTTCCAGAAGGCCAGAAATGGGTCCGTTTCCAGCCTCCGGAGCCCGGGGAGGCAGTTTTCACCTTCTCAGAGGCTCGAGGAAAGCCTACGGAGCCTGGGGAAGGCGAAAATGCCCCACCCACACCGTGGTGCAGGAGGCCGACTAGGCCACACTGGTTCACCAACAAATGCGCGCCGACGAAACCACGGTGAGAAAACTGTGAGGTCGAAATCGTGCCGATGAATGCGTGGAGAATCACGCCGACAAAAGCGCGCCTTCAACAAACAACTAATAACAACCTAATAACCCTGAACCTAACCCTAACCCTTACGTTAACTTAAATCACGCTTTTGTGGGCGCGGTTTTGTCGGTGTGTTGTTGGGGGCATGCTTATGACGTTGCGGTGTTCTCTCCACGGTTTTTGTCATGCGTGCATTTGTTGGGTCACGGGCCACGCTCACCTTGGCCACGCCCACCTAGAGAACCCGTTGTTGAAATTTTCGAAGCCCACCCCTGCACAGGCCCACCGTCTGACCGAAATTAAAAATAAAAATAAAGAAACTATAAAAATAATAAATTAAAAACAAGAGACAAACTCTAAAGAGCAGGATCGATGGACCGCTGGGTCTTTTTCTCTCATTTGTTTTCTAATTGTTTCTTTGAGGCTGCTCGGGATTTGCCAGTTCCTGAGCCATGTGTCTTCTGAATTTTGACAGTCACTTATATGTTTATTTTTTTTCTCCTTCCCAGACAATTCCGTGGAAGTGGCTGTTTGGTGCCACTGCTGTAGCGCTGGGGGGCGTAGCCCTGTCAGTCATCATAGCAGCCAGAAACTAAGGCCGACCTGCGGTTGATGACTTTTGAGGAATCAGGCTTGGAGATTTGGCCCTTCCTTCCTCCCAGCTCCTGCCCCTCTTCCACCACCTGGCCCCCTCAAGGACTGGCATACGACTTTGCACCGGTGTCCTCCCCTCTGGACTGTAGGTTGACTGAGTGGGGGGGGTGGGCACAGCAGACTTGGCTCTCCTGCCCAGCAGAAAGACTTCCCAGCCTCCAGAGTTGATCAGAACATCAATGAAACCCTTTTGCAGGAGATGCCTGGGGTGGCAAGAGAGATTCTTGCACCGTCTGGAGCTGCAGAAGTGAGAAAAAACCCAGAGGGTCTGGGTATATTTTGCAGGAGAGGGCAGGAAAACAGGCCTTGGCTCAATGGCTACCATTCACTTCTCTCTTTCTTTCTCTCTCTCTCTCTCTCTCTCTCTCTTTCTCGCTCGTGTGGGTTTTTCTTATCCTTGCGCTGAAGCTGGCCCCGCAAAAGATCCGTCAAAATGAAGGAAGGATATTTCTGGGGTCCGCCGGGCAGGGGGAAGAAACCAGGGACTGCAAAAATAAAAAATAAAAAAGAGTTGCATTGGCTTTAGAACAGATTTAGGAGGAGAAGCTTAGAAACTGTTTAGACCTGGCCTTAGGCCAGGTAGAAGAGGCCAGGACTGTGAAGATGCTCCTTTAGTGCTCAGGATTGGTTTAGGGTGGGGGGTCAGAGGGATTTTGGTTTGTCCAACCGCCTTCCGTGAAAGCTTCCTTGGAGAACCTCAGGGGTTTCTCTAGATTTCATTTTGGTTTGTTCCAGGTGTTGAAAACATGCCTGCAGGGAACATGTCTGGGTAAAAAAATGACCTGGATTGCTTTCTTTTGATCGTCTTCAGGAAGCCAAATCGGGAGCCAAGGAACTTCTCCATCGTTGCTCAAAATCTGCTTTCAAACTTTACTGGTGGCTTTTTCCCCCTCCCCTGACTGTCTCCTTTTTAAGCCACCCAACTTTTCAGTTCGCAGCACCGGGTGCCACTCGAACCCGGCGCTGTTTTTCTTTGGTACAGTTTTTCTCACTCTCTACATTTTAAAACTGTGAACAGCTGCGACATCCTCATGTTCTAATAAAGCAACATCTCTCAGCAGATTTCCTAGCCATTCCTTTATTCTGAGGGCCGTGGAATCATTATTTATTCACTCACCAGCAGATAATCTGGCGAGTATTTATTTATAGAGGGAAAATGTCCGGACCAAACGTAATTTCTAATGTTGGATTTTCTCCCTTACCAGAGGGACCCCCCCCCCCTTGTAGAGTACTGTGAGGCATTACCATGACAACTCTGTTGTGCTGTAGAGTAGAAGCCATTTTACAGCAGTACAGTAGAAGCCATTTTAAGGCCAACAGGCTGTATCTTAACAGAACACTCCCCCCCCCCCACAAGGAGTGTGAGGGGTGTCTTACCCACGCACAGTAGTTTTTCCAGAGAGTAAGTCATCTGTGTGCCAGGGTTGGTTGAAATTGCTCAAGGCGTTCCAAAGTTATGCTGGAACTCACAAACACCCACACATACACAGATGATAGATAGATAGATGATAGATAGATAGATAGATAGATAGATAGATAGATAGATAGATAGATAGATAGATAGATAGATAGATAGATAGATAGATAGA